AAACTCGGCGACCGCCATAATTTTATCGGGGTCCGTTTCCAGTCCTTCTCTGGTAACGATGAATCCTAGAACCCGAACCCGGGCCTTGAGAAAATGACACTTCTCCGGTTTTAGAAGGAGTTTCGCATTGGCTAGGGCCTTAAACACCGCCTCTAGTGCCTCAAAGTGGCGTTCGAGTGTGGTCCCTCCGATGACAATGTCGTCGAGGTACACGAACACGTCAACCCACAACAGGCCACTAAGGACATCGGTGATCATCCGCTGAAAAGCAGCGGGTGCGTTCCGTAGGCCGAAAGGAAGAACTTGGTACTCGTAAAAAGCACGACCAGCCTGAAAGGCTGTGATCGCTTTCGAATCCTCGGCCAAAGGTACTTGCCAGTACCCGGACTGACAGTCAAGTGTCGTGAAGTACTTCGACCCACTCAGACATGTCAGACAATCCTCCACATTTGGAAGCGGAAACTTGTCGGGTACGGTCAACGCGTTGACCGCCCGGAAGTCCTGGCAAAGCCGGCGCCCCTTCTTATCGGAGCCCTTTTTAGCTATTACCACCGGACTACTCCAAGGGCTCGTCGACCGACGAATCACGCCCTTTTCCAACATACTTATGACCTCTGTGTCTAACCATTTGAACTCTTCAGGCGAGTATCGGTACTGCCGTTGCGACACCGGTTGCGCACCAGGTTTCAACTTTATTTCAAACGGTGACACGTCTGCATTACCCATGCATTTGTCATTAGTATGAAATAGATACATATATCTATTAATTAACTTTAGCACTTCTGGGCCCACATCTCGGGTCTCCAGGTCACACACGTCAAAACTTTCTAACGACAAAGTTTCCCACGTGTAGTCCCACGCTGACAGGTCCAGTTCGGCTTCGGCACCTGTAAGACGCGGAAAGTTAGTATTAGATGGTGCAGTTTCAGCCATCAATACTTCTTGGAGTACCTTTGGTGGCTCTTGCAGCCCACCTTGGTTCCCACTGATTAGTCGCTGGGACGTCACGTCCACGAGCAGGTCCAACTGTTGCAACATGTTGCAACCGATCACCACATCGTGACCTTTCATGGCAAATTCATCGAACACGATGAACGGGACGATATCCCGTTGTCCAGCTGTTGCCACTTGCAGTAGCACCTGTCCCTGGGCCTCCATCATCTGACCGTTGGCACATTCGGCTTCGATGGTCGAAGGGGCCAAATCGGCTCCCAACAGGTCCACCAGGGTACGTTGGACAATGCTGATCGTAGATCCAGTGTCCACGACCGCTCCGAACTGTACACCATTCAACTCGATGGTGACCTTTGGCAATGGGGCAGTTAACACTGCTCCGGCCAACCACACGACCTCTCCTACAAGAGAGCGTTCGTAAGCGCGCTTTCGGTCAATTACATGCCGCAGGTCATTCGACTTGACCAACCTCCTTGGTCCAACCAGCGGGGTTGTCTTGTCGACAGAGAGGATTTTCTTACCTCTCTTCGGGTGTGCTTCCAAAACACACACTTTCTGCTTCTTGGTTAAGGCCAGCTCCAACTCCTTGGCTGCTAGCTCTAACTCCTCGGCGCTGACCCCGACCTTCTGGTCGTGAATGCGCACCAACGTAGCCTGACCGTCAACCCGTGACAAGCCCAGGCTTAACTCCACCAAGTGCATCCGGTTCAGCTTTACATCTGCTGAACCAATACGTCCGTCCAATGCTTCCACTTGCATTTCCCTCCGGATGGTGACTTTATATCCCACAGTTTTGTCCGGTATGAAGACGTTCCATTCCACGATGCACTTCCGAGTACGGACTATATCCGCCCCGGTCCGACCATCCAACAGTCCGACCCGAACCTGGATGACATCCATGGGCACATCGTTAGCAAACGACGCCCGAACCCGCAGCAGTCCATGACCAGTCACTGGCATCATGGAAACTTTGACCATTGGTGGTCCTAACAACGACTTCTCGTGCCCCATTGTCACGTCGTTGTCCAGCGGGTTCACGTCCTCCAAAGCCCGCTTCACCGGCGCTTTGGCGACGGTCTCCTTCATCGGCAGCGTTTTCAACGCCCCGACCATGCGTGGCACTCCTGGTTCCGATTTTCCCGGACACCATTTCAGGCCACCGCGGTCATTCGCTCCGGCCGGTGCATTACCGGCCACCGGTTGCTGTGGCTTAATACCACCCGGCTGTTTGACCGTGCTAACCGATGGCTCCGATTTCTTCGGCAGCCCTGTCGGTTTTCGCAATGCTTCGTCCAGCTTCTTCGCTGCGGTGCTCGGTACCTTGACCGCTGCATCCGATTTCACCGGCACGGGGATCCAACTTCCTTGGCACCACGTCCGGTTTCTTCGATCCACCGCTTGGCTTCTCCACCACGGTGTCCGCTTTCTTCGGTGTGACCGATTTGGCTGCGACCGACACGTTAGTCACTACCGATTTAACCACCGGCTTCGGCGTGACTTTGGCAGTCGGTTTCGGTGGTTCCGGTTCCCGGACTTCCACTTCTACCGGCTCGCTGTCGGGACTCGGCGGTGTCCACTCCCCATTGTCCGACACCCCGAATTCCATCGCCTCCTCCTTACCGACTGACAACTCCAGTGCATCCGGTTCTGGTGCGGGCGGTACCGGCGCTGGCTGTCGTTTTGACGGCAGCTCGTCTTCCGAGCTCGTGTCGCTGTCCGATGTGGTCGGCAGACCGGCCAATTCCGGTTTCTGCCGCTTGAAACTCCGGATGCGTGCCTTAAACGTTGGTTTAGCACCAGCTGACTTAAAGGTCACTGGTCTCACCACGCCTCCACTGACACGCCCCACCACCATTCGGACTTCCGCTCTGGTCTTGGGTTTATTTGACGGGCACTCCCGGGCCAAATGTCCCACCTTCCCGCAGTTGTAACAACTGCGTTGACCTCCGGGGGTTGGTTTACCTGTAAAACCACTTCCCCCTGGTTTGGCGGTAGCCGGCCGATTTGCCGACTCACCATCCCCACTACCAGACGGGTTCCGTCCGAACGTGCGACTGCGCCATTCCTGACGCTTCGGCGGTCCGAACCTATTTGACGGCTTCGGATGCCCTGTCGTGGCCACCGTCGTTTTAGCATGGTCACGTTCCCGTTGCTCCCTCCGGCGAAGCGCGTTTTGCGCCATAGTTAGCTCCCCATAAAACTCCTGGGGAGTCTTCGCCTGTGACAACACGACCATCGTGTTGAAACGATCGAGCAGGCCATCCTTAACCTGTTCGATGACATCCTCATCCTTCATCTCTCGGTTGACCAAGTAACATTTCGTTACTTTCTCGATGAAGTACGTCGCGATATCTTCGTCTGGTTGCTGACGTCGCCTACGTAGCTCGCGTTTGTATTGCAGAATGAGGTCCTTCGGGCGGAACCGAGCGCGTAACTGCGTCTCGAACGTTGCCCAACTCGTGAAGCTTTCCGTCCCGTCCTTGGTGGTGTGATCCCACCACTGCCCGGCAAACTCCTTCAGGCACAATGGAACCTGGCGCAACTTCTTGCGCTCGTCCCATTCTAACGCTGCAGCATAGCGGTTAAACTCGAGTAACCACTCATCTACAGCGTCATTCACCATGCCGGTGAATATCGGTGGACGACTGTCCGATGCGATCTTCAGATCGCTAAACTCCTTGGCAATTTGCCGCGAGTCTAGAACAGTCGGCGCTGTCGCTCCACGCGCCGTCCCTTGCGGTGTCGTTTCCACCGACGGTCTACTAGTGTTGTCACCTGGTGTCGTCATGTCCCCAGTGAACAACCACTCTAACATCAACCTCTCCCTTAATCCGGGACGAGCGTTAGCTGATATGTACCGTTACTGTTTAAAAACAGTCCACGGTTTCGGCACCAATTGTAAGGTCACTCTTCAATAGTCAACCTTGTAATCCAGAGCGTGTTCTTCTGTAACCTTTATTCGTTTACAGCTCGCAACACACTGGCTTTTGCCGTAAAACATAAATCTCTTTTATACTCTTTTTATGACAGTTATCATCCACAGGATCTGTGGGAATATACTAGCGCCCATCAGATATCGGGCTAAGAACAGCGAACGTTCAGCGAACGTGCATGACACAGCATGCCCACAGACAATAGACTTTAAACTATCGGACATAGTTCATATAAACATAAACTATCATGTTGCTGTGGCGTGACACGTGGAACACCGGGTACGGTCCACGACTGCTTGCGAATCTTTGTCTAGACCTGTAATGCAAGCACAATTCAGAGGAGAAAAAAGGAACCGAAAGATCCATAAGTTCTAAAACAAAACACCGGGAACCGAGCAGACTTGTCTAACGGCATTTAAGCATGGTGTGGAAAAGTCAGAAGCTACCTACCAGAAGTAGAAAACGTTGAAGTATTTACTGTGTCTGCAAATGGCAAGCAAGAGAAGCACAAAGAAGTTCCTGACTTAATATTTTGTTCGTCTACAAAGCGCGAGCTCATCTGTACCGCTAATTTCGGCTACGATCTTAATTTTTTTTTTATAGAAGATGAACATCCATGAATGTCTTCGCTGTCAGGACAGCGTCATATCAGCATTCGTGCTTGTACTGAACTTCTTAGTGTTCTGTACGAACGTTCACTTATACGTACGTACGGTCTGCCCACCGTGCGCTCTGATTGGGAACCTCTCATTATTCTCTTCTAACCGTCTGCATACGTACTAGTATTTAAAACGCACAACCAACCTCTACCGTTGTTCCAAAGTTCCTGTCGCTTCGACTCGCCGCACAGAGAAGTAAGCAATATTAATTATAATCATAGCGTAAGTAATAATAATTCTTGGCAAACGAAAGCGTATATTCGGGCCCATCCAGTGCCTGTTGTTGTGGTGAAGACCGTGCTGCAAGTAATGCCAGCGTGCATCTTCTTTTTATTTCATCAGTAAAGCTATCACGTCGCATCCTATGGTTTTCCGCTGCTCGTTTCCCCTAATCCAAGATTAGTTTTAAGAGTACTTTTAGTTGGCGGAACTCCGCTCTGCACATTGTGGTTAATTCAGCATGACTTCCTTCTCCCTCGGCCGCCTCACATCTTCAAGACTTCAGCCATGCCGAGCGGAATAGGGCGTAACAATAGCGTGGACGTACTGGGCGACGACGGGATGATGCGGTATGGGAGGGTGGTGGACGTGTCCGACGACGGCCTCTTCATCGACATGCTCTGTCCCAACCGACGTCGGGAACCCGTTCCGTACCATAGCGTCTTCCGACCGAACAAGATGAGCAAGTGCGACCTGAAACGAGAGCGCAACAGTTCCCTTACTGTCCTTTCCGTGGAAATCCTGTTACCTCAGACGCCATCGGGACCGTGGATTTGGTTGCCTGGTGAATCAGACAGTTTCCTATTAGAAAACGCGGCCCACCAGCACACTGGAGCTGTAGTGCACTGGCGCAGTATGGGCAACGGAAAGTCATGCACAGATTTTCTCCCCATCGAACGCATCCGGTTGCCTGTTGAAGAGGCGCTAAAACAGCGCCGAATGATGAGAAACAAGCGTTGTGCGGATGATGAAGATGCTGCTCAATCAGACCATATTCGTTCAGGAACCTTCGTGAAGCGCACTGAACAGCTGGACGACGAATTTCGCTCGGTGTCCGCAAAAGACGTCGCGGCGCTCATCAAGCGCCTGGATCTCCTGCAACTCTCTTTCTCGTGTGACTATGAAAACAGTGATGACCGTGATAACCCTTTCTATCATGTGGACGTGGTGGACCTCGTTGATGGGCAGTTGGGGTACCTGTCCGAAGTGGGAGCAGCAGAGAGATCTCAGGTGAGAAAGTGGTTTAACTAGGGTAATTACAAGTAAATACAAGGTAAATAGGGTACCTACAACGGCTACAAGTAATTCAGTGCGGGTCCTCGGATTATTATTTCGTCAGATTGACTTGTTTGTCGTACGGTTTTCAGTGGGGCAGAAAGTTGCTGCGAGCCATGATGGTGTCGAATGCTCATGGTAAATTGTCAGAACTGGCAGCGATAGTTGCTGAAGAGATGGCGCTGCCGGTGGAATTGTGGCTGGACGTGTTTTCCTACTTGGACACGGTTACCCAGACGCAGCTGCGCGCGGTATGCGCCGCTTGGAACGCGCTGATGGAATCACCAGCGCTGCGCTGCCGTATCATCGTCGGAGACGAGTCGTGGGACTGCATAAAGCGAGAATACCGGGTATTCTTAAGCTTGGCGGCGGTTTACAAATGCTTGCGCCGTGAAACACAGCACATTGTGGTGGACATTCGACGCCGACGGCTGGATTCAGGAAACATAGTGGCGCTGTGCGACATGATTCGCTTCGTGGCAGACCAGCAAACCGAAATCAGACTAAAAAGTGTGCTCTTCAGCAAACTGGTGCATTTCCTGGTGTTTACCCACGGCGTACATGATGTTGTCCTTGCGGACGACGCCTGCTATAAACTGACATATTCGAGCTCCGTGTGCTCCCGCACACTACCGTTGCAGCATTTCATTGCGATATGCGCCAGTCTACTATGTAATACCCTCGTCATGGCCAACTGGCAGGTTTGTTTGGTATACAAGTACCTTCGACGAGGGCGAGGACGTTATCCCGTAGAAGGGATCGTTTGGGCAAAGGTCCCTTCGGCGCGACTGACGACGGGTAGTGATTTCCGCTGCGCATTCCTGGATGCCTTGGAGACAGGATTGCCGGTACTTACGGATCAGAAGCTGGAAGATGTGCGCCAGGAGTTCAACTCCCTGGGTGATTCTCCTAACGATGTCAGTGTGAAGGATGCCGTCTGTGAGGTAAAGTAACAGTTATGAGCTGTTTCCTCAGTTGCTGTTCTCCGGCTTCATAAACCACAGTCCTCATGATTTCTGCAGTGGCTAAGCGCGGTGCAGTCGGCTGATCCACGTCCCTCAACGCACTACCGCGGGAAAACCTGGCACGAGGACGACTTGCAGGGTTTGCAGCTAGAAAAACTTTCGGTGTTGTCCGGCATTTTCTGGTTGGGCACGGACTGAGAGCGATGGTCCCGTGGGTTTCGGCTGCTTAACAATGCACCTTTAGTTGCTTGAGCACCGTCGTCCAGAGTGGTTGCCTCGGCTTTGAGTATTCGTCTGCCGATAACAGTAAGCAGTGAACAATATTGTCGAAGTTCTAAATCATTTGCTACATTTTTTCTTTCATTTTATTTAGCGATTCTTTTGATTTTTACCTGTTGCACTTTCAATCACAGAACTGTATTTGCCCTCACAAACGCGAAGCGCTTGTACGTTCATTTTTGGCACGCCTGTTGTGGCGAACCCTAAGTCTTTTGTAATAAAGTTCGCTCAAACAACCTCTGGTTTCATTGGTTTCGGCATTAGATTGCTGTTGAGAGGAGGAGTGACCTCCCCGCACACCCGCACTGGTGCGGGTGCTAAGTTGTTTTGCTGTTTTTGCTAGTGATTTTCTCCATCTACCAGCTCTTCGATCTGGTAGATTCTTCAGTTGCTAGCCATCGTCGTCTGAGTAACTTGCTGCTATTTTGGCCCCGCAGCATTCTGAATGCTGCGGGAGCTTCTGTAGTGTCATGTGAATGGGATAAAGTGTGCAGTTGATTGTCGGGTGTCTTGCGTTTCCGCATAACTCGTAGTATACAACACTGCTCACTCTGCAGGATAGATTCCGTTTCTGTCTCTGTCCGTGGATTCTTCCTAGATCCACCATCATACTGTCATAGATTAATACAGTTATTATTACCATGTCGCCGAAGACTGTAAGTACTCCATCGCAAGCATCGGTGCCGTGCCGTGAAGACAGTACGCAACACCAGTGTGCAGTTTCCAAGTTCTGGTTGATATCTCCCGTCAAAAAAGCTATATATTCTTAGCCCATGCCTTTTATTTTTAAAGCTCTTGGTCAACGAATCATGATTGCCCGAGGGGTGCAGGATTTTTTTTAGGAGAATTTCGTAAACCGTACTTCGCAACCTGTGGCTGAGTGGGTAAGACCGATTTTCTCCCCATCAAACGCATCTTCTGGTCAGAGGAAGAGGCACTTACTCTGCGTAGTATCATTAGTATGATGAGAACCAAGCGTAGTGACACATGAATATTAACAAAACTACTTTAGCTGCATAAAGACAAGTGAAAAACTTTCTCAAAAACCATGGCACATGCAGTTGGAATCGGATAGTCTGTCAGCAAAAGTAGCTGGATACGGTCAGTCCGTTAATGAAAATATTGCATTCTATTGACAAAAATAACGCTACTACGGGACAGCTTGTCCCACTGCAAATCTTTCAGTCCATCCACGCACCACTTCTTCCCACGGTAATACGAGGAAGGACGCGGATCAGCTGAATGCACTGAGCACAATACCTGAAGATTAAGACTTAAAGTGGTTTTTAAAGCAAACGAATGCCGGTAAAATATACAGCATAACAGTGAAATAAGAAACTACCTTGCAAGCAAGTTCTTGAAACTCTTCAAACTTGGTATACCCGAGTGGGCTCAAAGTGGATGGAGGATACCCAAGTGGGCTCAAAGTGTACCGGAGCCGTCCCCATATTCGTTCGTCCGGTACCGGCATCGCCGACTCCACGGCATTCCACACTGCGCAGCGGAAACCTGGACCAATCCGCAGTCGATTTGTAGGGAGTTCTACCACGCTTACACATGTGCGGCGATATCCACCCATGATGCAAGGAAAGCACGCATTAACCTTGCACTTGGTCAGGAGGATCGTACTGCACGGCAGACCGTCGCATGCGGCAATGAAATCACGTAGCGGCTTCCCATCGAACCTGACTTTTGACAGACCAGACGGATGCAGGGCGCACTCGTCGGTCTGGAAATCGAACCCATCGCTGTTAATCTGCATGGTCAGGTTTCAACCGCTTAGATGCAGACTTCTCAGATGTGCTCCGGATTGTTGCTGAGATACGTAGCGAATCATGTCGCACAGCATCATCAGGGCATTCTTGTCGTTCCGCTGCTCATCGCTCCAGCGCGCGACCACCAGGTGCTGCGTGCATGGGTGCAGGCGTTTGTACACGGTCGGCAAATCAAATGCATCGTCATTACAGATATACTGCTTGGAGTAATCCCGTTTTCCAATCAGAACCCGGCTTCGCAGCGCTGGTGTGTCCATCAGCTGGTCCCACTGTGCGCACACTGCGCGCAGCTGCATCTGCGTCACCGTTTCCAAGTACGAAAATACTTCCACCAACAGTTCCACTGGAAGTATCATCTTGTCGTTTTTTGGCAGGTTCTCGTCCTGTAGCTGCGATGATTCGATCAGTTCCTGATACACTTCAACGACGTCCTCCTAAAAATCGAATAATATTCCCAAGCCCCTTGGAAATCCCAAAGAGTTTCCTTAGTAAAATAGCCTGGTTCGAAGAATTATGATGTTCTGCAGCTTTCTCCTTGTCCAAGTACCGCAGACGGTTGTCTACGAGATCAACTATCGAGATCGTATCACTCCCGAAATACTTCTGCTTCACTTGTTTGATGAGCGGCTTTATTTCTTCGGCGGACAGCGAGCGGAATTCATCATCCAGCTTCACAGTACGCATGACGAGGTCCCCGGGACAAATAAGGTCTTTAAACGCAGGGTCATACACAGACCAGGAACACCAGGTTTTCGTTGCTGCCTGCCGGCAGCCATCCGATGCACCGAACGTTGAGGGAAGCGAAACAAAAAAACGTATGCTCCGCACGCAACGCAGCAAAATACCAGACGCTAACGAAATACGTTAGAATCTTATTGTTCAACACCTACCTCCTTCAAATTCCTTTTTTAGGCCAACGATTCCAGTTCTGGACCAAAAAAGCTTTGTCGGAGGGAACCCATTCGTTCCGTCTGCCGGGGCATCGAAAACCCACGACGAGCCCGCGGTCCGTAGACGCTACGACTTTACCACACTGCAGTACTCCATCGTCTCCGGAAACTTCCACATCAGGCTCCAGCTGCGTGTTCTTTGCTATCGATGGTTGTGGTTGTGCACTTGCCATGATGTCGTCAGTCACGGACTAGATATGTTTCTTGTCTTCGGTATTCTGCAAACAGTAAATCTGGGGAACGTCGCTATAAAATTACGGAAGGCAGAATTTCAGATTTTAAACGGCATTTGAAGCGACTGCAGTACAGCTGTGGTTTTGCAGGCTCTACCGGTTGCCCTAAAACTGGCGACCAATTCACAAGCGCGCGTACGTACAAACACAGCTTTGAAAGCCGTTGTAAAAGTTGCACGGACCGTGATTGCCCAGCTTGTCTTCTGTCATTCGGTCAGCGCAACCGTATATTACAATAACAAGGTGGTGGTTCTCTCACACAGTTCCACAACTACTTGGAGGTGCTACACGTTGCACGGTTGTACTGATAAATGTAACAAAATAAACAGAAATCAATCAACAGAAAACATTATGCAAGCGGTACTAGCCGTTAATAATCGTTAATATTCCATGGAGAAATTTGTTACACTGCGGAGAGACTAAAGCCCCGGTCATACTTGGTGTTCGAAGCCTTTAAAACAGTTCTAATCAAAATATGTGTTAACAGTATGACCGCAAGCTGTTCTAAGCACCTTTTTCTTAGAACAAAAAACTGACCACTCTTTGCACAAAATCTTTAAAACATGTTTTATAGCCATATAAAACTTGTTTTAGTGGGGAGGGGCCTAATCAAACTTCTTAAGGTGTTTTAATACATTTAGACAATGTAGCGCTCAGGACCGGAACTGGATCCTGGTCACACATTCCCGTTGTTTTTTTTTATTAGCACAAGCCAGTCACAGTGCAAATTTTGTTATTAAAACAAGATTAATTATAACAGGAAAATTTCTCTTAAGTTGTCCGTTACATCCATAGTTCCAAAAACGGACACCGCATTTCCCCGTTGAATTTCGATAGACAGACGCTGGCGTAGAAATTCATGTGATCGCGGTTCACCAGTGTGCTGCTGCAGTCGCTTGCCGATTTCCTTCACTAGAGCGGATGCCGACTTTCCCCATGGCCCGAGTGTTTCGAAGGCCAAGGGCGCGAAAATGTATCTGCCGTCAAGGCACGCGTAAAGACTGGTCTTCCTGTCTTCGGCATGGGCAGCGGCGGATCCAGCGGTTGCCGAAGTGGACTTGATGTGCGATGGGGCGACAGTGTCGACGCAAGTGACGTCCCAGGCCAAACACATGCCACGTTTCCAGGCGAACGTCGTGCACCCGTCCGGGCGACGATCGGACGTGTGGGATGTGCCGCGGGGCTCGAGCTTCGCTGGGATACCCGCCGAAACTAATGATCGGCAGACAATACTGTTTAACCCGCCATGGCGAGCGTGTCTACCGGCAGAGAAGGAGCATGACAGCCCGTGGTGGCCATAAACGTCAACTGGTTTGCGGCATTTTGCACATGAGTGTGCTTCACAGATTACTGCGCCCAGCCTTAGACCGACTGAAATCTTTAAAGTATCGTCATCGAGGAGGTTTCCAATGTGTGCCGAAGGCAGCGCATTCAACCAGATGCCGGCTTCTGGTTTAGACTGGGCAAGCAGGCGGGCTCTGTTAATTTCGTCGTCGCGAAAAACGTTCAACAATGTTGACAGCGACGCATTGCAGAGCGGTAGGTCCCATGATCTCTGAGACTTTTGGAAGTTGAGTTCGGGGGGATCTGTCTGGCCACTCTTCACTTTCCACTGTTCCCGTGCAACAGTAGTGTCCACTGCAGCGTGATTGGGAAGAAGCAATGACATTAGCGCAGATGCGGAATGAATCGAAGCCAAGTAGGCTGGGAGAGCTAATTCTTCCGCTCGACGAATGCCAATACCACCTCTGCTCACGGGGAGAGACGCTTGCCGCCAACACGGATAATCATTCTTGTTGGTGCGCACATTGCACAAGGTCTGAAAACACTCGCGCGTCACTTCGTCAAGCTGGTAGAGCTGTTGCGGTTGCTTCCACGCGTTGCAGCACCGTAACATGTTCCCGTTGTTATATCAGCCGGCAAATGCGGATATTGTTTGAATGGTACACTTAAAAAAAGTGCGTCCAACTGTCAAAAACACATAGGTCATACTTTGTGAATTTATTTTCAGATACGGGTTTTGCTGCTATCATTTAAACGCACCCCATACGTAATAATTAACAAAAAATTGTAATAATTTGACCGTTTGTAATACTTAGCATGTAATAAGTTACTTTGAAGGTAACT